CCCAGAATTTCCGGTATGGATTTCGGCGTCGGACGAGGCGCGCGAAGAGCAGTCAGTCGTGAGGTTACCTAGGCAGGCAGTGAAGGGTGGAAGTTGTTAAGATCCGAGGGAATTCGGATTCCAAGCCTGTCTAAAAGCCACTGGGAAAGACAGCAGCAGATCGATGCGGGATGGGATGGGATGGGATGGGATGAGATGGTGGGTTGGAGAGGAAAGAGAGACGACGACAACGGATAGAAGGTATGTAGGTCCCTACAGCGTGGGAAAGTACTGTGCTTGGACCCCACGTCTCACTAGGTAGGTACTAACGCACACCCACGCCTACTACTACACCCACACACCTAGCGAACCTCTCTCTCTCTCTCTCTCTCTCTGTCAGTTTCCTTGCTACTTTCTGGTCGTACCACCACTGACACCACCGACATGCACGCATCTCCGAGTTGGGCCCAGCCATGCCGTGTAGCTGCTGAGAAAAGACAGCCATGATGTATGTGCCTGCATTGGGTTAGATGGCCGTGAACAGGGGACCAGAAAGAGAGGGAAAAGAAGGAGGGGGATGCGGTAGATGAGCGAGCAAGGAAATAATAATAATAATAATAATAATAATAATAATAATAATAATAATAATGGAAAGAAAAGAAGTAAATCAATAAAAACGAGGATAACAACACACTTTGGAACAGGAAGAGCATGGCTCTCGTGCTGTTTCTGTCCAGCTTGGCCGTTCAGCCCAGCCTTGGGTGCCGATGCGACACACCAAACATACATACCTACATCCCGTACCTGGCGCAGTGCGTCCGTCAGCCGTGTATAAATCCCTTCCCCCCCCCGAAACTCACCTACTTACCTCTGACTCCCCCTCCTTCCTCGAAACAGAGTTAGAAATCATCATTCAACATATAGCATATACCCTTCTCATCCTCTCGTCCTATTCCCTTCTCTTCAGCCACTTGTACCCTGCTATTCTGGAACGAATAGCCTCGTAAAGTCTCTCTGGAACGAGAGGAACGAGTATATCCCGTCTCGCCCGTCACCACCATCGTCAGCTAGCTTCCTGACATTACTTCCCTTGATTCGACACCAAGTAGGCCGTGCCGAGGCCCTTTCACATTCTCTTCTTGTTCAGCTTCCGGTGAGAAACACTTGTTCCTGGAGGGGTCGTTGGACACCCTGAGCGAGGGCTGACATCGCTTTCATCAGGCCAGCGTCACTCGACCGCCGGTCTCTCCCGTATAACACATCTCCTAATACTTGTTCGATCACGCAACAACACAGCACGCAATCATGTCCAGTCCCAGAGGCATCGAAACGCATCTTGACTTCCCCGTTGGCTCTGCAGAGTACCAGCCCGGCAAGTTTTCGCAGCAACGGAGTCCCCAGTACAAAATCTCCAACGAGCCAGCATCCGCTCTCGCCGAGGGCCGCGGCGCTCCCACAGATCTGGGCCAAGACGGCGACTTCGACATCATATCCCTCGGCGAGGCCGCTGCTTCGGGGCCGCCTTCGGAGGCCACCGGCTCTGACGACACCGTCATCGCAGGCGACGTCATGCGAGGGGCCGCTGGGACTCCAGCAGTCCTGGACTCTGCTCTGACCCAGAACAACATCCATCTCCACGATCGTGTGTGTCCACTCGGCACCATGCCCACATACCAGTGGATATGGGGCCAGCCCTGCCCCGGTGGCTTCGACATCAAGGACACTTCGTCCAGAGAGAGCATGAAGGTCCACGTCTCCCACTCGCGCATAAGTCAGACAACCGACAGCCTGGAGAACGAATACGGCGTCGTTAACCACCCTCCCGAATCTTTCATCGCCTTTGCCGGCCACTGGGCCGATGTCCCCGCTGGTCCTATGACGCTGGATGACGATGAATACGATCCACTGAAGTGAAGGCTCTGTCTGTCCCGGCCTCTTCTTTTCGGTCGTCTCATCTCGTCTCGTCAATGGGGGTTGGCTATCATTATAGCCGACTCTTTCCCTTCTGGCGTTGAATCGTCGCCTGACTTTCCACAATGACAAGGGTGGCCGGGAAGACAAGGAATAGGTCGACCATGAACTGTTTCTCTTTGGCTCACCAACACATTTGTCAAGTCATCGGCCAGACCGTTCGCTCACACAAAGGATCGTGCTGTCACGAAGCGCCGAAAATCTCGTCGTGTTTTGGAATAGTCCATGTTGCTCGTTGTTGGTGGGCTTGTTTCTGGATCAGCTTGGTGCCATTCAAAGGATCAATCAAATACTGTCATTTCCCGGGACAAAGAAGCTTCTTAGTCCACCCCTCCTCTCTTGTGCATACGCTTTGGTAGCGTATTGGTGTGTCGTTGGAATACCAACCATTAACATTTGCTTCAGTCGCCGTCGTTGCATTTTGCCCCGTGACCGAGCTCAGTCCACTTACATAGCCCGACCCCCCCTCCATCCCCATCGACCGGGGCCGATTCAGATCTTCTCCCGCTAGGTAACACTCCAATTCCAATAGGTAAACCGCCTTTGATGCGGGGGAGTGCGCCCCCAAGAGCGGGACGGGCGTGGAGACGGCGTTGCATCGCATGGGACGAACTCTTCTTCCCCGGCACCGGTTCACGAATTTCTCCACGATGCCCTTGAATTTAGCCTGAACTCCGACCGCTTCCAGTCCATTAGCCAGCGTATCACCGCACCACCCGTTTCCGTGTTGCCGGATGAGACCCTCGTCTCTGCCCGCACAAAGCGATCCGTTGCGTTGCCGTAATCCGTCCATGATACAACGTATCGTATTGATGGAGAAATTGGCACGATGCAAGGCACTCGCCCCGTACCTGCATGCCGTTATAAGGCCCGCGAGCCCCTTCTCTCACGGAGGGCCAGCGTCGTGCCCTGCAGCCAGCATTCGCCTCCCCCTCCCTAGCCTGTCGCCATGATCATCTCCCTCAAGACGGCCCTCGCGGCCTTGCTCCTCCTCTCACCTCTGGCAGCACAGGCCCGCCCGCGATGTCCCACGCGGGACGAGAGGCAATGGGTCACCATCTGGGGGACCATGCCCCAGCTCTGTGAGCCAGCCAACCTGCCCCCGGCGCCCTTTGTGAGTCTCCCGTCTGGTGTACACCGACGCCGCCTTTTGTTCTTTTCTCTCTCTCTCTCTCTCTCTCTCCCTCTCTTCTGTTGCGCAGCGGCCTGACGACCTCGTACAGAACGAGACGGGTCGCGTCTTCCGCGACGCGACACTCCGCCAGACCCTCAAGGTCTCCCTCGCGGCCGCCACCCTCCGCCTGCAGATCAGCAACGCCTTCGGCGGCTCCGACCTGCCCATCACCGCCGTCACCATCGCCCGCGCGGCCAACAACACGGTCGGCACGAGCGGCGTCGACGCCGACTCCCTCCAGGTCGTCACCTTCTCCGGCAGCGGCGGCTTCGTCGTTCCCAACGGCGCCATCGTCTTCTCGGACCCCATCGAGCTCCCCGTCGCGGCGCAGACCATCGTCTCCGTGACCATCTACCTCGCCGACGGGCAGGCGACCAACAGCGTGACGGGGCACCCGGGCAGCCGAACGACCTCGTTCCTCGTCAGCGGGGACCACGTCGCCGACCGGGACCTCGGCGCCGGCGCCACCCGGACGGATCACTGGTACCTCATCAGCTCCATCGAGGGCTGGGTGCCAAAGGGCGCGTCGGCCGTGGCCGTCGTGGGCGACTCCATCTCCGACGGCCGCGGCTCGACGACGAACGCCAACGACCGCTGGCCCGACCGGCTGCAGGCGCGGCTGCAGGCGGGGCCGTCGACGCAGGCCGTGGCCGTCGTCAACGAGGCCGCCGGCGGGAACCGCGTGCTGGCCGACGGCCTAGGCCCGAACGGCCTGGGCCGCGTCGACAGGGATGTCATCGCGCAGTCCGGGGTCCGGTACGCCATCGTCTTCATCGGCGTCAACGACATCGGCACGGCGGCCACGACGGCGGCGGCCCAGCGGGCCGTCGGCGACAGGCTCGTGGCGGCGTACGACCAGATGGTGACGCGGCTGCACCGCTTCGGCATCGCCGTCTTCGGGGCGACCATCACGCCGATGACGGGGGAGGGCCAGGCGTACGGGGACCCGGAGCGGGAGAGGACGAGGCAGCGGGTGAACGAGTGGATCCGCACCAGCGGCCGGTTCGACGGGCTCGTCGACTTTGACAAGGTCGTGAGGGACCCGGCGGCGCCGGAGAAGCTGCGGGCCGAGTACGACACGGGCGATCACCTGCACCTCAACCCGGCCGGGTACGAGGCCATGGCCGCCGGCGTCGACCTGGCGCTGTTCGAGAAGTTCAAGGACGGTGTCTGGGGCATGACATAGAAGGGGGCGGACGGGCGCGCCCACGAGATCATTATGCGGGGGGGAAAGAAGAAGAAAAAACGAAGAGGAAGTCGTGGTGAGTCAGAGGGTATTATAAGCGAGTCCGCCATTGACGAGAAGGATTCGCCCGGGCCGCGTCTGGTGCATGTGTGGCGTGGTGATTGGATGGCAGGATACACCTCCCGTCCAAGAAACCGTTCAGTAGCAGGCGACCTGCGACGTGTGCGGTTTAAATAAGAGCAACCCTTTATTAATAGAGTGTTGATGTATATGTATTTCGCAAAACTCAAAACCTGGCCCTTGCCTACCATGATGGAACCAGCAAGTCCATAGTGTGCTGAAGACCTTGTCTCGTTGCCCTTGCACCGGTACGTGACATGGCGAGCGATAGGCAGCACCCCTTCTTTTTTTACTATCGAGCCGACAGCTTGAAAACTCTCCATTCGTCTTGCAACTAACTGGTCCTTCAGACGCGCCGTGCTGTTCTCGATCCAAGAGAGAGGCCTGATCCTCCTGTTTTGGACACCTTCTGCTTCGTATCCATGCCGCTCCTTTAAAAGAGATACCGAGAAGTGGAGCTGCTGGATCAGGTCCTGTGGGTTTTCTATCCTTCTAGGTCTCCACGTCTCATATACCCTAAGCCGGCGGACCCATCCCAACCAACTATCACTGGATGCAAACATCCACACTTCCCCGATAGTCTAGTGGTGAGGATATCTGCTTGTCAACACGCCCTGGGTCGCCGAGCCCGGGTTGATTCGCAGGGGACCGGGGTTCAATTCCCCGTCGAGGAGATCTTTTTGCATCTTCTCTCGAGTTTCCACGACAAAAGGGCGGTGTTTAGGGCTCTTTTGGTGGTTGTGATGCGGGTAGCGGTCGAGTTGAGGGAGCCACTTCCGTGGTGTTACAAAACCGAAGCAGAGCTGAACGGTGATCGCACAGTGCCATAGTGAGCTGAATACTATTGTCACGCTTTTGGCAACAGCCTTCTTAAATAAACAACGAACACATAAAACTTTTAACAGACGTTACTAAACTATAGCTGACTACAGTTTCAGACGGGGGGTTTTTTGGGTTGTTTTTTTTGCAGGGCATAATGGATTTGATCACTGGAAAGAATTGTATCTATCGATACACGTCTAACACTTGATAAGTTGTAAAGCATAAAAGAAGAGTGTAAGAAGGGCCCTTGTTATCATTTAGGCGGTAAGAGGCAGACCGCGTCTGAGACTTTTCAAAAGTGGACGGCGTATTCCACCGCCAAGGTTATTCTTTATAGAAAATGTTGCCCAAATAATTCTCTCACGGCTATAATGCGAAATCGAATCCTCCTACATACAACATACACCCTCTCGATGTGTGTGCTGTTACGACACGAAACAGGAGCTGAGCCTGGTTCCGCAGTGTAGTAGCTTCGGCACTGTGTCATCCCGGTGCCCACTATAATTGCACGACAGGGCGTTCACCTCAGCACTTGTACATGACAGGGCGCTCGGCAATCTCCCTGTCTGTGTGTCAAACTTCAAGAACGAACCACCCTTTAAAAGAGCTCGCGACAGGCTCAATTGAATCGCAACCGGCTTGTTGGGCTCTTTCAACGAGCTATCAATTCAACTGCTGCAGCCCGGCCGGTACAGGCCGAGTCCGTCTCCCTTATCGTGCCGTACATACACCTCTAATATACTCACGCCGAAAGCCCAGGCAACGGCGGTATTGTATTTACTCACTCACCATGATCGTCCCACGTTCGCCTTGCCGCCTGGCGAGACACGCACTCTCCAACGCCCAGCTGTGCCGGGGCCCGAGACGAGCCGCGCCCGCGGGCGCGGTGCTTGGCCGACCCCAGACGGACCGTCGTTGCATGAGCGCCGCCGCCTATCGGACCCCTGCCGGCCTGAAAGGTCTTCTGCGCGTTTCGGACGAGGTCGCCGACGCCGTCGCAACCAACAAGCCCGTCGTTGCTCTGGAGTCGACAATCTACACCCACGGCGCGCTGGCCAACGACCTCGGCCTGGAGGACGTCGTCCGTCGGGGCGGCGGCGTGCCCGCTGTCTGCGGTATCCTCAACAGCGAGCCCGTCGTCGGTTTGACCGAGGCAGAGGTTGCGCAGATGGTTGACTCCGGCACCGCCAGCAAGGTCTCGAGAAGAGATGTTGCTCACTTGGTTGGACTGGTAAGTTGACAGCGTCGTGGTCTATGCTCACGACCATCTCATCCCAACTGGCTCCCCTAGTCTCCCCTCTGAACCCCCAGCCCACCGGCCGGGGCGCAACCAGGCTAACGGATATACCAGGGCATCGCGGGCAAGAAGGTCCACGGCGGCACAACCATCGCCGGCACCATGCTGCTCGCAAGACTCGCCGGCATCCGAGTCTTCGGCACCGGCGGCCTTGGCGGCGTCCACCGCGGCGGCGAGGACTCCATGGACGTCTCGGCGGACCTTACGGAGCTCGGCCGCACTCGCGTGGCGGTCGTGAGCGCCGGCTGCAAGGGCTTCCTCGACATCCCGCGCACGCTCGAGTTCCTCGAGACGCACGGCGCCTTCGTCGCGACCTTTGCCGACGGCCGCACGGGCAGGGTCGACTTCCCCGCCTTCTGGGCGCGCGAGAGCGGCACCAAGAGCCCTCTGGTCGTCCACACCGAGCGCGAGGCCGCTGCCATGATCCTGGCGCAGGAGAGGCTGGGCATCGAGTCCGGCATGCTCTTCGCCAACCCCATCCCCGAGGAGCACGCGATCCCCCGCGCCGAGATGGACGCCGTCATCGAGACGGCGGTCACGGAAGCCGTCGAGAAGGGCTTCACCGGTGCCGCCAACACGCCCTACGTCCTCGGCAGGATCAGGCAGCTGACGCAGGAGCGGAGCACGCTGGCCAACGTGGCCCTGGTGAGGGCCAACGTAGCGAGGGCCACCAAGATCGCGGTGGAGCTCTCGAAGCTGCTGAACGGGGACGCCGGGGCGGGATCCGTGTAAGTGGGCGGTTTTTTTTCTTTTTGCGCATAGATCAGCCAGAAGGTAGACTCTGACTGTGTAGATAGCTCGTCAAACACGTTTGTTTCTGGTTATAACATGCCTGCCGCCGCGGAGCCCGCGACCAAGGCGGAGGCGCCCAAGTCGAGCAAGGCGGATATTCTTGTGGCAGGGTCCGTGGCTATTGACCTGAGCTGTGACTACCGCCCCCTCGGGGACAAGAAAGAGGTCTCCCCCCATATGCATACGTCAAACCCTGCCTGCATCAGCCAGTCCATCGGCGGCGTCGGCCACAACGTTGCCCTCGCCGCGCATAGGGTGAGCAAGGACATTAGCGTGCGCCTTTGCAGCTTGATCGGAGACGACGTGTAAGTCGACACCCACTCGTCCACCTCGTCCCTTTTTTTTCTAAGTGAAATCAAAAAGTGCCGGAGCGACTGTCCTCTCCTCCCTGGAGGCGTCGGGTCTCGAGACGACCTACATTCGCCAGCTCACGTCGGACGACCACGTCTCGAACCGCACCGCGCAGTACGTCGCCGTCAACGACGCCGAGAAAAACCTCATCATGGCAATGGCCGACATGGACATCTTCTCCAACCACTCGTTCCCCGACTACTGGAAGTCGACCGTCGCGGGCGCCAGGCCGCGCTGGCTCGTCGTCGACGGCAACTGGAGCCCCGGGGACATCCGGGCGTGGATCCAGGCCGGCCGCGAGCACGCGTGCAAGGTCGCCTTCGAGCCCGTCTCGACGGCCAAGTCCACCGGCCTCTTCCCGCGGGGGCAGCACCCGCGCCTCGGTGTGTTCCCGGAACCGGGCGTCGACATGGCGTCGCCGAACCACTATGAGCTGACGGCCATGTACGACGCCGCCAAGGAGAACGGCTTCTTCGAGACCCCGGAGTGGTTCGAGGTCATTGACGCGTTCGGGATGCACGGCGCCAGGGAGCGCTTCGTGTACCTGACGTCCAGGGAGATGACGGACGCGGGGATCCCCGTGCAGACGATCCACCTCCTGCCCTACATCCCCACCATCGTCACGAAGCTGGGCTCCAAGGGCGTCCTCCTGACAGCAATCTTGGGCAAGGACGACCCCCGTTTGAAGGATAGGAACGAGGAGCGGTGGCTGCTCACCAGGGCCCGCGCCGACCACCCCACGATCGGCGGCGTGTACATGCGTCTGTTCCCGCCGGCGGAGACGGTCGCCGCCGAAGACGTCGTCTCCGTCAACGGCGTCGGGGACACGTTCCTCGGCGTCATGGTCGCGGGCTTGTCCAAGGGGGGCAGGGCCGAGGACCTGATCGACGTCGCGCAGAAGGCGGCGGTGTTGACCCTGAAGAGCCGCCAGAGCGTGAGCCCTGACCTGGGAAGGCTTGACGGGCTGCTGAAGGCCGCCGCGAGGAGCTGAGCGGGTCTGCGGCGTTATTGTAGGAGTAATAAATCACATGTTTGCTGGTTGTCGGGGTAGCAGCGAGGACCGTTCCCGGCCGGCTGCTTTTCGTGTTTCCTCAACAATGAGGTCTTGAAGCACGGAAAAGGAACACTGTAGCAATAAGTGGCACGGCACATCTTGAGCGTTTCCTCACGCTCTAAGTCAGTAGTACTGTAAAAGTATTCTTATTTATGTCAAGATCAAAGGTTGCGTGCGCTATATCTCATTGTTTTTGAGTGACACAACGTGAAGGCCAATTCCAAAGCTAATTCTGCCAACTCAAGAGAGAGCCAAGTCGGGCCTGGTATACCATCCTTTTAGGCGGCGTTGGCTCATCGGAAACGGCTTGTGGACAAGTACAAATCGCACTTTGAAAGCAAATATTGTGCAGTGCACAAAACCAAACTTCAGTATGCTTCGTACTCAGTATCGCCCAGTTGATATGAGGAGAAAGTTCTGGGTACACAGGCCTCTTAACCTTGCAGACCTCTTGCCATTGTTGAAAACATCTCTATTTGCACACTGATATCACAGGCCGAGGCTTGCAAGCAAGCGCCCTTTGTCACTAGATTGAACGCCCCGGCGTAAAACAAAACAATAACAACCACTACTACTACTGCCGCAATAAAGAAAGATGTTGTTGTTGTGTTTAACGCCGAGGCGTCCAAACTGGCGGTAAGGACGCTTGCGCGCAAGGCTAGGATGCAAGTAGAGCCTTTTTCAGCAAGGGCAAGAGGTTGTAAAGGTTAAGAAGCAGGTGTATTCTAGCATCAGTACCAGAGTCCTAGTTTATCGTCTGGTTTGATGGGCTGAGGGTGGAATTGGTGGTGTCGAGAGCAGAGGTTTTGAGGGATTCTGGTTGCGGAATAAATAAGAGGGATGGTTGTAATGAGGAGAGAATCAGAGGAGATTCAGAGGAATGGTCACTACTGTGCAGCCACGGAGGGGTCTATGCCCCGCAGAACAGCCTTGAAAAAGGGCAAGAGCCATTGGCCGGGCCCTTGCTGTGGCTGAAAAGCTTGCCCAATAGCGATGTGAAAGCGCCTGCAAGGCTGAGAGCCCCAGTAAAAAAATTCTTGGGGACGTCCTCTGCAAGCCGCTTCCTACTCCCGCCCTGATCCGCCGGTGCGTGCTCACGACCGAAAATCCTCGTCAGACCAAAAAAAGACCAATCCACGATAATGGCAAAAGAACAACCGTTCGAGCGGTTTTCCGACGAGGAGGAGGAACCGACCTCCTCGGAAGAGTCTGAACTCGAGGAGGAGACCCCGCGCCAGCGCAAACCGAAGCCCGTGTTTGACGAGAAGGATTCCGACGAGGAGGAGCTTGAGAAGCTGGTCTTGGGAGGGAGGGCGGACTTTCGCGACCAACTCTTCCGCAACGATGTGCTAGGTGAC